CCACTAGCGATGGCCTCAACCCTGATAGCAATGGCCTCCAACCTACTAGCGATGGCGATGGCCTCCACCCTAATAGCACCCAACCTACTAGCGATGGCCTCCACCCTAATAGCAATGGCCTCCAACCTACCAGCGATGCCCTCCACCCTAAATAGCAATGACCTCCAACCTAATAGCAATGGCGTTCAAACTAATAGCGATGGCCTCCAACCTACTAGCGATGGCCTCCAACCTAAATGATTTACTTATAGTTGGTAGTTTGACCCAACTGCGCTTTTAGGTCGGGAGGCTGTGTCCCTCAAATCAATGCGTCGAACACGTGGCCTGCACCTGCAAACTCTTGCAGACTAGAAAGTATATTGGAATGACATAGTCATGCAGGAGTTGTTGGTCTCAAAATCGATTTGTAACCTGAATATTCAGAGAAGCAGGGATTTGATCTCTGCCTTCGTGTTCGAACCTTCGAAGTCTTGCAGAAGGGAGTTTTATCCTTATAGAAGCTATAGATCCATGTTCTGCAAGAACTAAATGCATGTCTCTCTTGAGAATTCATCACTTTCGACCGGCAATTCGACCCCTTCCGTGAAGCCACCGATCAACGCAGCAAAAGCCACTCATCGTTCCTATAGACAGAGGAGCACATGAACTTGGCAGATTCATCGGCCCAGCGGTTCAAGAGCGACTCGTGTTCCTGCGCGGTGCGGTGATTGCTTTGTCTAGGTACTCATAGGTATTCAAAAAAAGAACAAGACCTAAAAATGCCCAGGAGGATAGAAGATGTTAGAAGGTCGCTAGTAGGTTGGAGGCCATCGCTATTAGGGTGGAAGCCATCGCTGCTAGAAGATTTTAGAAGGTGAAGGCTTTGTCATAGTTTAGGAGGATCCGAAAGGATGGAGGAGGGGTCCGAAGGAGTGTTGATGTTTCTAATGCTTGTTTCTCATAGCGAACATTGCTCCTAGTAGTAAGGCCAGGAGCCCCGACCGTAGCGTCCGATCGCTCCTAGTAGCGATGCCAGCAGCCCCTAGTGTAGCGTGTTGATTGAAAGAGGAGGAACTCGTGCGTTGTCTGTAGAAATCCTTCCCACCAAAACACTAGATGGCACCAGAACGAGTTCCTGCTCGATGAGAAGCACACTAACCTACTGCTGTACGTATAATACTGGCAATACATTCTCCACCCGGATCGGAATGTCCCTGCCTTTTTGAACTGTTCACTGTCACGCTCATACCTCAACAGAAAACGATGGCGAGCAGCTGGGCGAGCGGAGACGTGGCGCCTTTTTCAGCGAAAACAAGCTGAGCGAGATGTGACTGAAAGATGGACACCATAGTAGCGTCCTTGCTCCTAGTAGCGATGCCAGGAGCCCCGTTCGTAGCTTCTTGTTGGCGCCTTCGACGAAATCCTGAGAGACCCGACTCTACACGCGTTCTCTGGACATGGGTCCATCCACCCCACCAGAAGTGCGGCTCATTCTTGATGACGCTCTGGGCACGGCCAATTGAAATTGAAATAGATCCATCTTCACTCCGAGCTCTTCCAAGTGACGACCACAAGTGACTACTGGGAATCACAGCAGGCTTTAAAAAAATGAAAAATGACAGCACACTACCTACTACCTAATATAGAGGTTATGCCACATTTTTGCGATTTGCTGGTCGAATGAGTTGTGTTGCTAAAATGTCAAAAGAAACACAGCGAGTCTACAAGCTGCAAAGGCATATTTCTTGACCATCTGATCATCCGGTAGCGTCCTTTGTCCAGTGGCCTCCAACCTACTAGCGATGGCCTCCAACCTACTAGCGGAGGGCACCCCAAAGTTTGGAATCATTTAGCCCTCCTACTTGTCCAAGAAAGACTTGGACCTGTCAACCTCTGTTCCTCTGTTCGCAAGGAAATCTGTTTATTCGACACAAACTGTTATTCCCAACCCACCTGGGTGATCTCTTTGTCCCAAACCTCAGTGTCCGCTCGGTGGACTCCCAAATGCTCGTTTGGCGCTTTAACGATCATTCAGTTCGAAGCACCTTCCAGTTAGTAGCTGGAAGTCAGATTGCAACCGTGCTTTGGATGCAAGGAACAATCAAAAACACTTGGAAATTTCTTTGGAGGCGTTCTGACCTCCTTTTCTTGGTGCTGAACCTTCGAAGCATGAGACAAAGCGATACCTCTATATCAATGTGTGCTTAAAAGAGCAAAGGCATTCACCGTTCGAGGCTCATTCCCCCTCTGGTCCGAAGGCCTGGTTTGTGAATGACAGAAGGGGTCTAACAAAGAGGCCCATGCACCCAACAATCAATATGTCTAGAGTCTAGTTCCTAAGTGCTCACGTGTCTTTCAAATACAATACGTGTGGTCGATTGTAGGTCTGTTGCAACCAACTTTCAGCTCAAAATGGAGGATCCAAACAGCAACCTGGTCAGGTTTAAAGTCCATTTTGTTGCTCATGCAAATGATGCCTTCAGCACAGTGTATTGAACACCTCCCCTGTATTGAACTGCCAACAACAGCCGGCCATTGAATCGCCAAGACGCATCAAAAAGAGTGGTCTTTTTGTCTCTGAAAAGAACCTTAGCTCCCATAGCTCTTGTTCCATTGGCCTCCAACCTACTAGCAAAAGGAACCTACTAGCGGCCTCCAACCTCGCAACTCTTGTTCTGGTGTCGCTCATTTTCAATGCGGCACTATGCGGTCTGGTGCGGATCAGTGAATCAGATCAAGTAGCGATGCCCTTGTTACTACTAGTAAGGCACCTGTTCCTAGTAGCGTGGCACTTGTTACTAGTAGTAAGGCACCTGTTACTAGTAGCTTATTGGTTCTAATAGCTTCTTGTTACTACTAGTAAGGCCAGGAGCCCCTAGTAGCTTCTTGTTACTACTAGCGTGGCACTTGGACCGACTCGGTCTCTGGCGGTGATGTTGCGGCCCATGTCGGTGTCCGCCGTGCCAAAGTGCAAGGGCTGCGCCATGTCCTGGCAGGGCGGGCGGCGCGGGGCGGCGCGGGGCGGCGCAGGGCGGGGCCGGGTGGGCCTTGGTGAGTGGTGGGAGCAACGTCTGTTTCTGAAGTTGCTGAAGTGGCATTTCAAGTTTCACTTGGCTTGCAGCACAGCGGGGGAATCCACTCGAATGAAAGAGGATGAAAGACTGGCAAAACGAGGAGTTAGTGCCTTTTTGCACTGTAAGCCAAACGTTGCCAAACGTCGAGTTTGCAGAAAGAATCATTGAGGAAAGCACTGAGTTGAAACGTCCTCCGTTGGGATCCCCGACCCCCAAGAGATTGATGAGGTATTTCACGCAGTCGGCATCTGTGAGCTTCACACCATCGGGCCTCGAGGCCGAAGCCTGTGATGCCCTTTGCTCCTGGTAGCTTCTTGTTCCTAGTAGTGATGCCAGGAGCCCCTAGTAGCGTCTTTAACGATGCCAGGAGCCCCTAGTAGCGCCCTTGTTCCTAGTAGTAAGGCCAGGAGCCCGTAGTAGGGTCCTTGTTCTTAGTAGTAAGGCCAGGAGCCCCTAGTAGCGTCCTTGCCCCTAGCTCCTAGTAGTAAGGCCAGGACATAGTAGCGTCCTTGCTCCTAGTAGTAAGGCCAGGAGCTAGTAGCGTCCTTGCTCCTAGTAGTAAGGCCAGGAGCTAGTAGCGTCCTTGCTCCTAGTAGTAAGGCCGGGAGCCCCTAGTTGCGAAAGGCCTTGCCAGCAAAGGACTTCGAAAGCCGTTTCACGCCCGTGGCCAGGATCGAGTTTCGTTGACATCACTGAGCCTCCCGCCATGTGATCTCAACGCCCAAGTCTTTACCTCTCAACGCCCGTATCAAGCGTTTGTCCCACGACAGACCGAACCAGAAGAAGATGTTCGATTACAGTTCTTCCCAATGGCACCGTCAAATAGAAAAGGCATGGCTCTAATCAAAAAAAGAGATGGAGTTGCTGCTAGAGAACTCTCACGCAGCCGACCTGTGAGCCGTCCGTAGAAGTAGAGGATGGCTTTCATCAAACATCTCAGTCAATCGCAGAAATTTTATCGTAGATGCAAAGGTGGGGTACCGCGGCAGAAGGGGCAAGCAATGGATGACCAGCCCATTGATTAGCATTTCTAATGTCCTTGACAATGCAACCACTTCAGTTCGACCTGTTTAAAGCCAAGCTATGACAAACAATCTTCAAGGAGCGGTCGTGGCTGCACATGCCGCGGGTGATTGCCGGTGAAGTGGCGTGTCGATTTGCATCTCGCCTTCATCTGCATTCGCAAGTTGTGTTTCGAGCGCACACTGCAACCTTGAGGGTAACCTTGCCTTCTTACCGTTCTTACCTCAAGGTGCCGATAAGTTTGAGCTTTTTTCGACGCTTGTATTATATTCTCTGCCATGCGCTTTTACAGAAGTCCTGTGGGTCTCAAACCGAGCATGAGTGTTGCCGGTCTTTGCTTCGTGCTGACAAGGGCGGCTCGTCTACTACATACCTGCATTCCTGCATACCCCGGAATGGTGCTATGCAGATGGCACATTTGCCAAGTGTCTGTGTACTACAGGGCAGTGGTGTCCTTTTGGGAAGAATAGATGGGTTGGTTTGGTACCATTCACCCATTGGTTGTACACTTGAGAGTATCCTCTCTAGTAATCCACTCACTAATAGTAAAAGGCCATCTATGCTACGTACCCTTTAAGTATCTCGGAGCCCTGACGCGAGATGTATCTTCGGCTTCTGTCGAGGGGTTTTTCGATGCTCTTTTGAATAGGTTTCTTCTGCCTTAGGCTCATGACGTCGGTACAGTCTATTTCATGTTGCGAATGTGCGAGTGGTGCCGCATGCCCCGCTCCTTCAAGCCCCTACTTCAAGGACTGGATTCAGAGTCCTGCCATGTCCTGCCGTCCAGGGCGCCGATTGTCTTTGCAGTCGTCGATTTGGGCCTTCTCACACCTCCAAGACACGAGTTAGTCGGGGAGTCACTCCGTTAGTCGGGGAGAATGTTCACTTCTCTTCACCTCGGGCTCCTACTTCCGTTTGTAGGCAACGTGGAGGAAAGGACTATGATCCAAAGACTGACTGTAGGTCAAATGGTGGGTTTCCATGTGACCCGATTGCCAAATGAGAATGGAACCTGGGTCCAAACCCTGACTCTTGGGAAGTCTTTGGAACAGCTACGGCAAGTGTCTCTCCAAACCGTCCATTGAGCATGGGGCGTGAGATTCGTGAGCAATTTACCGCTACTGTGGCTTGTGCCAGGTTGTGCCTGGTGCTGGGTTGCCGTTGGAAATGAAGCTCCGTGGTCCACGGATACTTCTTGTTCACCTGCCAGGTCTGTGCAGCTCGAAGTGGCGGGTCTTTCACGCTTGGCAACAGCTGGCAACTCTTGAGCTTTGGATGGCAACTGGGTAAGCAGCTGGGTAGCCACATTGGGCACAAAGTCACTCCAAGGCAAGAATCAAGTGGATCCAGTGGATCCAAAACAAAAACGACCCTGTCGAACATCTCTGAATCCAGGAGCGAATCAAACGAATCCAATCTATCCTTGTGCGCCTTGTGTGCCCAGGCGGCCACATCTGCTGCATCCTTTCCACCCATCAGGTGCTTCACTTGAGCTACCTCAGCATGTGCACGCAAGTGGCACGGCAAAGGATGATGTCTTTGACTAGTGTAATTCAGATAGATCCCTTGAGAAAGATTTCAGACATTATTGGTTATATAAATCAAAAATCTGACTCGACCATCAACCCTGGAATCAACGAATCTGATCAGAAAAGGATTCCTTTCCCTTTTCAGACCTCTTCACCTCACCAAAGAGCACCTCAGCTCCCCAACCGCCGAAGTGTCTAAGGCACTCATGGTCGTCATGCCGATGGCCTCAATGCTTGTGCGGTTAGAGATATAGACGTGGTATGACGTGGTTAATAAGGCGGTTAGCGTCTATCATGGAAAAGGTATGGCATAGTAGAGCTCTCTGAGGCGATTAGTTTGCTTGTCTTACATGGTCGACAACAGCGGCAGCTACAATGTTCCAGAACAACAAAGACATGTCAACGGGTTCGGGTGTCTACCTGTCCTTAGCGGATGGATCTGTTGCCTAGAACAGTTCACTGATGGCTCTTTTCAGGTGCGGGCCCAATAAAGAGCATGAACGGGCAGTGATCCCGAACTGATCAAAACCCGGAAAACCTCCAAAGGTGTGGGAAGATCACTTCCCACACGCCCAAGAGGGCCCCGGCCTCATGGCCATCCTTGTCCCAAGCGTGTGCTCTCAGACAAAGGGCCTCGGGCAAGTTTGGCGATGCAAAGCCTACTGCAACCTACCGCGCCTTTCGAAAATGCTGATGGAATTCTAATCGTCTATTTGCAAACTGAAGAGTTTTGTCCACTTTCAGAAGCATTCCAAGAACTTCACTCTAAAACAGAACACTTTCATTCCAAGAGTATCCTGGGTATCCTTCCTTTCCCCCACTCCCTCGCGCTGGCAGCCCGAACCAGCACCAACGCCAAAGTGCGCCAGAGCCCACCGCCCACCTTCGTCGGACTCAGATGACGAAGGGAGATCTCAGCGATTTCTCGGAAGCGAGGAATCTGCTGTGAGGACCACAACTTCATAGGATCCTCCCAACCAAACCAAGATAAAATAGTAAGTGAAATCCACTTTTATCCACTTTCAGTTGAGAGACATTCCCTTTGGACACGTTGGAAAGGTCTTATGGCCACCGATTTTAAAGTGGAAGGAGACACTCTAGTCGTGGAGCCAAGCTGAGAGCGTTTCAGCACAATCTGTGAGGCCCTGCAAGTCCGGAGCCAAAACTCATGGCTCTTCTGCCAGGAAAACAAGACGCTCTTGGGACACAAATCGTGGTTCTTTGATGTTCTTGGGATCGAATTAGACACTGAATTGTAGGAAGCCATATCTCACGGGTGGCACGGCGCAAGTTTGCTTTGTTTGTCTCAAGCTGGGTGTGGTGCTGTCGTGTTTGTGTTCAATGTGCTAGATGTATCATGACATCTCAGGACATGTGCTTATGACTCATGATTTCTCATGACATCTCATGACTCGTCAGCTGATCTGGTGATTTGGAGTTGTCTGCGGATGCCTCCATTCATGAATGCAGTGTCTGCTTGACACTGGTCTTGAGAGGGGATGACGCTGGCAGCCTGTTGAAGCCGACTTCATTGTTCTTCAGACTTCGGGATGGCTTTCTTCGCTATCTCTATCTTTCTCTCTAAGTGTTGTAGATCCTGATGGAGCCAGCGGCAGGATCGCGGTGCTCGGAAGGTTTGCCTGCTTTGAGTTTTAGATCTGAAACTCGATCTACAGGGTAGTACCGAGTATCTACATAGAGCCCAAAGATTAAAGCTTCGATCGAGGAATTCAGGTCACAACGCAAGCTTTGTGCCCAAGCAAGATTTCGAGAAGAGAAAGCCGGTGGTAAATGAAAGCATTACAAGAGATTCAAAAGTCCAACGTCTAGTAACAAGTGCCTTACTAGTAGTAACAAGAAGCTACTAGTAACA